ATTAAGAATATATTTTTAGCGTTGTTCTGGCAATATACACTATTTACGCCGTGAAAGGATTAACTATATAGTTTCTTCGATCGTCCGTGCAATTTACTTTTGTTTTTAGGTACCAAAAATATTAAATTCAGTTATTTAATTTCGACGCAAGAGTAGAAAAAAATATACATTACCATACATAACGTCGTGTTCATACGACTCCACATCCCTTTGTTTACCAGTAACATATATTTTACCTGAATCAAAATGTTTAAGTACAAGAGTAAAAAGTTGAGCTGGTTGGTACATACCTGTAAATAGATCAGCTTCAAATTTAGAACTATACAGTGTTTTATTGTGCTTTCTTCGTGTTTCAGTAAAATTCTAAAGTTCAAGCTGATCTATTGACACGGTATAAAATGTTGTCGCAAAGTGTGGTAGGTCGTCTAAAATACCCGTGATTGGTACAACTTTGTGTCGCAGTGTTAAAATGAAATCGTGATTGTGTCCTTAAACTAAGGAATTAATTACATCGCATAAATTATGAAATGAGCCCCTCTTGCTCATGCTAATAATGAAATAAGGTTTAAGAAATACACTTTACAAGATATATGTATATGATTACGACACAACTGAGCTAAAAGTAATGAAATTCTCAGAATGTAACAAAAGGTTTAGGATAATTCCTTTCAGTCTATTTTTTTTAGAAACACCGAGCGGCAATCCAAATGCGCTTGTTGTTCTAACCAAACATTGTTTGCACTCGGCACCGCATGCATGCCACTAATCATGCAACAAGAAGTAATCGCAATTGTTCACTCTAATCTATTCGCACCTTCGCACTCAAATCGAATCTGGCCCAAAATAGCACTTGCCCAATTGAACATTTTCTTATGCAGAATAAGCTGGCATAGCCTGGCTGTTGAGGTTTGTTCTTGACAAGATGCCGGTCAATTTAATTTGCAAATGAGCATCACCTTTGCTAACTGATGATTTTAACTCAATAGCGTTAATGAGCTCATGTCACAGAAAAGCCGATGTCGGTGGCGTTACTGGAAAATCCTGATTGGTCGATAGGTTCATGACGTCAGAGCTACATACCCTCGCGCAAGAATTTCAAGCAACCCAAAATGCTCACGTGAAACGTGATGTCACGCGTGGAATGAGAGTGATTAAAACATGACTTGTAATGCGAATTAAAGTTCGCCGTATGTCTCAAATGATTTCACTTTTGAAAGTAATTGTTTTGCCTTAAAGAAAATAAAATTAGGAATTTTAGGCGGAATTTGAACCCACGACCCTTTAGTTGCGTGTCAGACGTTTTTCACTAGGAACGGCGCGAGCGTCTGGCACGACAAAAACGTGCTTTTTGGTAGGAACGTTTTTGCAAGCAAAGTAGTTGCCGGAGTCACGCTTTTTGGCCTGCGCCAAAGATGCAGGGAAGAGGAACCTTTACAACGCAGTATGTTTTTAAAACTCCCCTCCCCCCTCCCCCCCCCCCCCACACACACGTACTTGTTTATACAGCGGAGCTGTTAAGGGCTAGTTTCCCCAGTTTCGTGTCCGTCAGCAAACAAATGATGACACTAAACTCTGGACAGCTACCGCCATCTATAAATGACAACAGCAACCAGGCAACCGGCTTGCCGGTTGTCTGGTTGCCGCCGTCGCGCATAGATGGCGGTAACCTCTCCAGCCTTTCCACTCTGGCTTACCGACTTGCGGCAGGGCATTACTTCGTTCCCACCATAGTACAGCTTTACCAGAGTGGAAAGGCTGAAAGTATTCCTCAGGAATTGCCTCCTCCGTTGGTGTGTGTTCATTTGACAATTTTATTTGACACTTGTTAACCGCAACCTTTCATTGCTTTTATTTTGCACCCCGTGAGGTTTAGATGGATCATAAAACGACATCGGGTTGGAATGTTCATGACTTTTCAGAGGCGTACTAGTACTCTGGCCCAAGTATACTCGCACAGGCCGCCACTAATTCAGAAGCTTCTTTGTCGCGGTGAAATTGCGAGGATTAAATGAGACTATTTCTTTTAGTCGTGCCTTCCCAAAGATTGATGTCTCAATTGTAGGATCAAAACCACCTGCCTGACGACAGTCGAGTGCGGCTCGTAGATTGGACAGGAAGACTGCGTGAGCACCGTACATCGGCTCGTAACAATCAATGTCTTGGCAGACACTTGGGTAGTGGCTCGTGTCCAAGAACTGCGGTGATGAGAATGGCCGAACTCAAACAATGCCTGAAGCTGAGCACGCTTTTTCTTCCTTTAAAACCTCATCGCGGGGTAGGATTAACGTTGGCGGCATAAAATAGGCACCAGGCCACATGGCCGCTTCCGGCTCCGAGTTGAGGGGATGAACGATGCTCTTATTTCTCGAATATTTCGGTAACTGCCATTGCCTAGAAAAAATAGCAAAGCCAAGTTCAAGCAGTTATTAACGTTAGGGAGTGATCCTGAGTAGTATTTAGTGATGTATAGAAATATTTTTATAGCTCCTTTAAGCAAAGTAGAGGAAGTCGAAACTTGGCCAATAAGTTCAGAACGACACTCGTGTGAGACTTACAGCGACTGCTAACGTTCAGCTATCTCTCTGAGGTAACTAAAATATTTTTTTTTTAGTATTCCTTCCGTACACACGTGTAGTTTTGTGTAACGTTATATTAATGAGTCGCATTTAGTAATTTCAGTACTTCTATTCTCAGGGACTTCTTTCAGATGCAGTTCAGCAACAACCAAAAAATATTTGGGTGCCTCAATAATGTAAAATGGGTCTTGCAACATTTTTTTCTTGTACTTTCAATAAATAGTGTTAAGAAATAACCCCTAACGTTGACAGCTTGCGGAAACATCCCTTAGTTTTCCCCTAATAGCAGATGCAGAAAAAATAAAGGAAAGAGACGGCGGTCGATATCTCCTCAACTCGCAATTTAAACAAGCGGCCACATGATCTGATACCGCCAGTGTTCATCACAGCCATGCTCTAGGCGGCTAGGGTTTGGAAAGCAAAAGCTTGGGCTGAGCTTCAGATATTGTTAGAGTTGGGCTCTTATCATATGTAATTGGCATGAGTCATTACCCGAATGTTTGGCGGTGCTGATTATCATAAACCTGAGCACTCGACTAGGGGTTATGAAAATTGCTTACGTCGCGGTGTCACGTGACTCTCGGTGGGAAATCGTGATGTCATGTTACGTCATGCTGTCAACAATGTTAATACATCTAGTGACTTCCTCAAATTAAATCGAGTTGACGCAGTGGGTCACGTGACGTCATGAGGTCACGTGACAACATGTATTGACACCATGACGTCACGTGACAACGTGACACATGGTTAATCATAGTGCCATGAAAACCCACAACTTACCATACTTTTCAATTCTGTATATATGACGATTTGATCCTAGATAGAAATACAGCCGCCAATTTTTATTCCATATGTTCATTTTGCGACACTAACAAAAAAAAATATTACCTTGAACCGTTTTGAACCGGTTACCGTTATATTTTTTTTTCGGTTCGGTTCCGGTTCAGTTCCAAGATGGCGGCAAGATTTCGGTTCGGTTCAGTTCCGGTTCGGCTAAAAATAACGGGTTCTGTTCCGGTTTTCGGTTCGGTTCGGTTCCGGTTCGACACCCTGATGCTCTGGGAGCTTTTTTGTGTTCGCCGTGTTTGGCTTCCTTTGTGTTGTAGAGGAAAGTAAACGCACAAACGTTTTTTAGGATGTTGGCTATTTTAAGAGGGCAAAACTGCGCGCGCAGGACGTACGTCAGTATAGACGAAGAGTTGAGAAACTAATTATAAGAAGGCTAATGATAATTAGTTAATTAGTCTAATTATAAGAAGGCTAAAAACTAATGATAAGAAGAAGTACCATGATTTGAACCCAGTTTTCTACCTTGAGAAGAACATAACAGTAATAAATATTTGAAAAACAAACTACTACTATAAGATATTCCTAATTAAAATACACTGCCTTGCTGCTCAGTACTCGGTTGAAGCGCATTTTTAGCGAGATGTATAATTGTCGCAACCATGTCTCCGAGTGGTCCTAATTGCATTAAATGACAAGAGCGCTCGTTACTTAGTTATATCAAATATGTCTTACACCCCATTTACACGATCATAAAAATGCCTTTTACTGAGGTGCCATTGTGACCGGAGGTGAGTCCCTTCACGATCCTTCGCACATGGCATATGCTCCCGATCCAGGAGTGTGGTTCGATTCACCAATTGTAAAAAAATCGGTCTTAAAGGTAGCCTACTTTTATACTGGCCGGGTGAGTGGGGTTTTGCGGAGTATGTCATACAATGCTAAATCACATACTTTAAGTATTCATGAAACCCTAAATGAATGCGTCGGTGTATTACCTTCGGTGACGTTCTCTTCAGCAAGAAGGGAAACTGGAGGCCGTTCTCATTGTCATTTTTTGGCAAGATGGGAGTGTGAAGTCGTTCACTCGTTTTAAATTCGTTTAAAAACATTGCCCTATAAAAACCGACTTTAACCCTAATATGTTAAAACATTCTCATATATGGCTGCCGCTCATGTTGTCTTAGTTCGATGAAAACGTTTTGTGCTTTTTTCTCATTGCAGATGTCAGCGTTGCCAAGCAAGGCGGAAGACGGCTGAACCCTAGGCAGGTTATCTGGATAAATTGGAATGGCAGCCTACACCACCTTCGTGTCGCCGGTGTCCCATGCCATCACAGGGCCCAATCACTCCACGACGACAGGACATGACCTTGACAGCACTGGGGAGGTTGTCACAACGGCACTGACGACGCTTTCGCAGACAGCGTACTCAACGGCTATGAGTCTTTGTAACAGCAGCATTGCCTGCCAGACAAATGCCTCTGGCGCATCGCTCCTAGGAGTGAGCGACGATGATATTGACTACTATCCTGGCAACAGGGCAGTCGAGGAAGTCTTGGCAATTGTTGTTCCAATACTTTTTGGTGCCATAGCAGTAATCGGCTTTTTCGGCAACGCCCTGGTGGTCCTTGTGGTGCTCTGCAACCCACAGATGCGGTCTACAACCAACATCCTGATAATTAACCTGGCTATGGCGGACCTACTTTTCATTGTCTTCTGTGTCCCTTTCACCGGTTGGGACTACACTCTTAACTACTGGCCATTCGGTGACGTTTGGTGCAGGATTGTGCAATACCTGGTGATAGTGTGTGCATCTGCTAGCATCTATACTCTAGTCTTGATGTCCTTTGACCGGTTCCTGGCTGTCGTTCATCCCATCACATCAATGGCCATCAGGACAGATCGAAACGCCTTCCTCGCCATCTTCATGACGTGGATTGTCATCCTTTTAGCCTGCATCCCGGCACTCTTCGCCCACGGAATGGTCTTCGTCGATGACAACTACTCTTCGTGCATGTTCCTGACCGACGTGGGCTACAGCTTAGCGGCTTTTCAAATATGCTTCTTTATGGCTTCTTTCGTGATACCCCTGACCCTTATCTTTATTCTTTACGTCTTGATGCTCAAAAGGCTGTGGTTCGGTGTGACGCCAGGAGGAAGGATTAGCAGGGAGAGTGTTCGTTCTAAGAAGAGAGTAACCCGTCTGGTTGTGGTGGTGGTGATGGTGTTCGCCGTGTGCTGGTGTCCCGTTCAAGTCGTGCTGGTGCTCAAGAGCGTCGACCTCTATGGTCTTCCGATGAATCCTACGCGAATCGTGATACAGATTGCATCACAGATTCTGGCCTACACCAACTCGTGCGTCAATCCGTTTCTGTACGCGTTTCTCTCGGATAACTTCCGCAAGAGTTTCCGGAAGATCATCTTCTGCTACCAAAAACCGACTTCCTCTGGTCGGCCCAGATCGAGGGTCGGGGAAAACGGCGAACGAACAGATCGAGATATGGGCAACTGTGGCACCAAGACGTCGAAAGTGTCAAACGATATACTTTAGCGTCATTTCCCTTCTTAATACAAGCCAAGAAAATGATTGCAGACGACAGAAACAACTTCTAAAACAATTTTCCTGAAGCCCCAGTTTGGTAACTGACGTTTTCGCTCAAAGACTTACCTTCTTTATAACTAAAGAAGTTACGTCTCTTGGTGAAACGTAGGTTACTATATCTGAGGTCCAGGATGACTTCTTAACTTCCCTTGTTGATGTTAAACCGTAGTACTCACTGAAGTGTTTTTTTTACACTTCGCTTGGTGTAAATACATTGTTAAAGCTATTAAGAATGCAAGAACTCCCATATTTTAAGCGTTTAGCCATAAACTCACTTTCCGAATGTCTCATTTACATCAACATTCCCAGGAGTGAGTGCTGAAAGCGAATTCCTTGCAGGAGTATATTATACTTTCCTAATTAAGGCACTATTTAGGCGACTGATAGTGAACGAGCCATATACGCCACCACATTTAGAAGAAAATACTTTTCAACATTTTATGCTCTTCAACCGGGTGAGCTTGTGTTTTGTACGATCCTAATGTTGTTGCGAATGGCGTGCTTGAGTGAGGTATTGAGAAGTAGGTGCGAGAAAAACAAAGCGTTTACACTATTTATGCCCTCTCCCACTTCCGTGATCCCTCTCCAGCGCATATAGATTCCCATAGAGCATGCTAAGCGCCAACCGCTATGATATATTGATGTTGCATTACAAAAAAAATCCTAGGTACCCGACGGCCCGAAATAGCGATGTGAAACAGGTAGTGGGAAAAGTAAACATCGCGCTGCACTTTGCGCAAAGCATCTGGTATACGAGCTAACCCAAACTAGAACAATTTGTTAAAACATTTACTCTTTGTTCAACATTAAAAGAAACAGGCTCTACACTTTACATCATCTGGAAATGTACAACATTCTGTTACGTCGGAAATAGCCGAATTAGAAAAAACTACAAAAGGCATTCTCTAAAAATATCTGAAAGGCAGTTTCTTCATGTCGTGTATTAATGCCTTCACAATAAAAATACTTTGTAATAACAAATAATAACACATAACTGACATAAAAACTGTTATTTAAAAACATTGAGAAAAAGTGTTTCTGGTGATTTCTTCAGGCCCTATGTCCCAAAAGCTTCTCGTCGCTTGAAATGCTCCAGCCTTGGACACACCGGCTCATGAGATATGGGCCGTCTTGAAGACTGGTGTCCTTGTGTAGGAATGATACATAGTGTAGAAATGATGCCTACAACCTGTCCCCAAATAGCGTGGTGTGCCACGTCTTTATTTTTGTATCCTCAATTTTCGGCCGATGACGTCAGAACTTCGTTTTGATGCTGTTCACCACGTCCCTGGTGGTGGTCTAGCAGTTGTAATGGTCACTAAACACACCGGTCCTGCTGCAGCTCGCTCTGCGGCTGACCAGATGACGAAAGCCCCAGCAGGTTCCAGTTGGGACGCCGCAATGACAGCGACACTTGCGTAGAATCTCCCTTCTCACCGGTACTTGTTGACCAACCGCTAGGATCGCGACTAGCGGCTGTGTGTGCCTCTGGTTTTTGTGAGACCATTTGTTTCCACTTCGTGACCTCTTTAGGTTCTTGGGGGGTACTGGAGGCGTGCGATAAGACAGTGGCGACACGGTGCTGAACCTAGCAGGCGCATTCCGCATAGACACCACGTGTAGCAGCCGACCTTAGTTTCAAGTCGCTGTCAACTTACCCGAGCACTGCGCTATACCGAAATTTCAGGGCTACGGTCGAGGCTGACTTAGTTCTTTACACAAAACCCGTTAATTGCGAACACATCCCCTCCATTCATTGGTGTAAACACCTGCGATCATCTCAATTCCAATATGGCGATTCGATTCGCGCCAGCGAGCGAAGAGTAATCTGATCATAAGACCAGCAAAAGATACATCTTTTGTAGATTTTATCACTTTGTGGCAGTGGTGATTGTCGTCCCGTATTGACTTCCGGACCGTCAGCCACAAAAATGCTCCGTAAATCTATACTCCAGCGCAGATAAACGAAAGACATAGCTGTGTGTTGCTGTCGTTGCCGCCTTTCAATACGAGCTCCGAGACTCTTGTGTGGGTCGCACGACTTGAGAACAAGTACAGAGCAACATTGCGCATGAATACGTTCTCGAATGTCAATGTGCCACTCCGAAAGAAGATCGAGAAACTTGGCCAAGACGCTGCGGCTGCATTATGCTCCGTTCACCCTAAAGCTGAGACTAGAAGCTCCCCTTTCAGCGCCGGCTTTCTGATTTCCGCAGTGTTTTGCTTGCGCGTGCCTGCGCGGTCACAATAGTGTCAGCAAGAGCAGAAAGCACGCGCTGAAGGCGGAGCATCTAGTCTCAGCTTAGGGTTAACGAGGTATTGTAGAGGTCTGAGCGCGCAGCGCTTCACTACACGACATAACACGGACGTGGACGTTGGTGCAGCTGCCAAGGGAAGTTGGCACAGACCCTTTGGACAACGTTACTATATAACAACCCAGTTGGAAAACTGCCATAGCGCCTGCTCTGAAAAAGTGGAACCGATCCGTACTCGAGAACCGAACTAATGGCGATCGCAACGCCGCCATTTCTCCCGCAGGGGCCTCTTGGGGAACTAGATAACTGCTTCTATTGGCTCGGGAGTATCGCCTTCGGTAGCGTCTGCTGTGACTGTGCCATTTTGGCGCCGAAACGTATACAGTGGAAGGGAGGGCTGCAAAACCCTATCTCCCAAGCGGACGCGCCGCGATTATTTACCGAAGTTAGGACGCACCCAGGTTGGGACTCGCTACCTAAGGTCACCGGTATTACATGGCTGTATAAAAACAGTACTATTTGTGCCGCAAATTCCTATAAACTAAAGTTGTATGCAAACATCACGCTCCTGCAGTTTTGCACTAATCTCAAATTAAAATACTTTTTTCGTTTGCTTCTACTTAATTAGAAACACGCTTTCTAAAAGTTCATGGTAATCGTAGTAAAGAAAAAAACATTAATCCTCCTTGGCACCTCGAGCCTAGGAAACATTCAGTGACTCTAGCAAGAGCCATATAAAGAAAATTTAATGTTTCAACTCGTCGCAAAAAGGGTGGCGCTGTTATCGTATTTAGCTCGGTCTCGGTGGACGCCAGCGGTCCGTGTTTTAAGGGTGAAATTCCCCAACTGAGTGTTTTAGTAATGTTGCCTTAAGGTGTCGCGCGCTCCCAATGGGGCGCTAAACATGCCAGTCGAAGTCGCGTTTCAGGCACCGTAGAAGGCTCTCCATTTTTTCCTGAAGGTGTGGCTTGTGCAGTGCGTGCTCTGTGGGAAAAAATACGCGCTGGCACTTCCTAATTGTCCCTTTAAGCGAAGTGTACACTGTTCTTGTCGTTTTTGTCGCGCACCACGTGACCTGCAGTTATCGTCTTTTCTCGTTTCGCAACACGATCGTTGCAAGAGTGTTTGAATTGATTAGGCCGTTTCACACGTGCGCTTTGAACCGCGCGACCTGCAACTGCAGAGACAGCGGCTGCAATTCCCCGCAAAATCCCAAAGCCGCATATGAACTCTGTTCCACCATACGAGCTGCTGGAGAGATTGCGGACGTGAACTTAAATTAAAAATAACGTTGCTACGGCTCTATACATGGCTTGTACGTGACGGCATTGCACCATACGGTCATTCCTGCGTGTTTTTGCTGGCAAAAACTAATTTGTTGGTAAAAAACGTTTGATGCAGAAGCAACAACGCGAAAAAAAAAGGTTGGTAGACGAGGCAAGACCCCCTACAATGACCACTGATGCCACGTTACCGTATACGAATTCATCACTTTTCTAATGCCACAGAAAGGAAGGAGCAACCGTGAGCAGCCATTGTAACGATTGGCGCTAGAGATAAAAAGAGATGAAGCTTCACCTGCTGTTCCATGCATGCGCATCGACGCATCTTGCACTGAGCGGAGGATTGGTTCTTCCACGCGGAGCCCCGACCTTCTAATTTTCATGTTGCAACAAACTGTACAGCAACACGCTTTAAAAAAACAAAAACAGAAACAGAAAAACTTACACTTTTTCACACAAGGTGTGTTCACCGCGTGCGCAGAAACCAGACTCTCGTGAGGTGAAGTGTCTGCACATGCGATGCATGGATGGATGACGCTGAACCCTTTGAACCGGGCGGCGTCTTGCGCCCCCTAGCTAGTGTTTCTTTTTTTTTTTTATCGTAACATGTATTTTACATTAAGTTATTTGTTTAGACAGATATAACTCGCCATGCCTACAACAACGCCACAGCAGCGCCGTGATGTCAAAGGAGCGATAAGGTCCACAAAGACTGTTTGATGATTTCGCTGTAGTGGCTGGAGCAAAAATGCAGCGCCTTTAACCGGGCGACTATCAGGCATTTGCACCAAAGCGTCTTCTGTAAGTCCAATTACTGCGCTGCTGCGGTTGACTGCGTACACAACCGCAAAGCAGGGAAGTTACGAATTGTGCTTGGGTATCCGATGCTGTTGGGTCGCTACCTTTTTGGTCGCAATGAATGCAGCTGAGGTCCACGTCGAAACTGGACTTGGTTGGATGTCTTCCTTTTGAAACCAGAACTTCTTTGTAAGTACTAGTACAAGTAAAAAAAGTACTAACTTGTTTGACCGCTCCCATGTGATTAGAGCGTTCAACCTGTATAGATATCGATTAAGTTTGCGGTATAGATTATAAACACGGCACGATATCAATGATGTACGGAATCTGGCTCATCTTCAAATAAAGGAAACAACTGGTTTCTCCACAAGACACGGAAAGCATTGGGTAATGCCAACACCTTGCTCGAACTATGGGAAAAATTGCTTGTCATGTACTACGGTCTGTGCTAAACTGTTATCAGATTGTGCATTTTGATTTATTCACCTGTAAATACAGTAAACTCTCTGCAATGTATAAAGCCGGGAGAGTATTTCTTTAATATTCTTTTGTTTAGATATGTGCGCCCTGAAATTTTATATTCTCGATGTTTTTTCTTCGTGATTGCTTTTCA